ATAAAGATTTTTTTTAAAAGCATATTTAAAGTTCTGCTTCCAAGAGAGTACTTTACAGGTGGGCAAGAAGGGAATTAGTACTGGGGATTGAACCCAGTATGTGTGTGCTATGCAAACCTCCTACCACTGAGCTATACCCCAGCCCAAGAAAGAGATATATATCCTTTAACATTCTTGGTGTATAATCTACCAGGCATGTGTTGATACAGATACATTATTATTATCTGATTAAGATAATAATACCTGATCTTTTTACTCCATAACACATTAGCCAACATTTCTTGAAATTCTCTTGACATCTGTAACAACATGCTTTTAGTATTATTTTCTTATCTTGATGGACATATTTTTCTCCACTTATTTCCTGTGAGTAGTTCTCAAGTCACAGTCCTTCATCTTTATCTCCTCTATAAATCTCACTTCCTCTGCGAGTTTATCCATTCTAAGACATCTGTGTCATCTTTGTATTGATGACTTAGCCACACTTCTTTCAACAAATATTGAGTATCTACTATGTGYTAGGTAATAGGTTTGGCATATTCACCCTAACACTAGGGCTAGGGTTATAGCTAGTAGTAGAGTGCTCACCTTGCATGTGGAAGGCACTAGGTTCGATCCTCAGCACCACGTAAAAATAAAATAAAGGCACTGTGTCCATCTCAACTAAATATATGTATGTGTGTGTGTGTGTTTGAAGAAATTAACTAGCCAAGCATACTGGCACACATTATAATCCCAGTGACTCAGGAAGCTGAGGTAATAAGATCATAAATTCGAGGTCAGCCTCAACAGCTTAGCAAGGCCTTGAGCAACTTAGTGAAACCCTGTCTCAAAAAATAAAGAGGGCTGGAGATGTGGCTCCAATCTTGTTAACAAGATTGACATGACCCTGCCCTTGTGCGACCTTCACTTGGGTGGGAAGCAGACAGGAAAACAGGCAATTATAAATGCAATAATGTGGAAAATACAGAATACTGAAAGGGTGAAGGGGTCTTGAAGGCATTTGGGGGAAATAACATACTGAATGGTCATGAGGAGGTAGGTAAGCAATGTGGGAAGAAGATGACAGAGGATAGAGCATTAGCCAGAATTTATGCCCTGGTACTAGAATAGGTAAATRTTTAATGATTAGGAACTATATTCTACCCGAATACTAATTCCAAAACAATTGGAAACATGTCCTCTTCAAAAGTTATATGTCACTGAAGTTGAAGTGTATTCCTCATTTTGAGGGTTCTTGAAGGAATGTGAGTGAATATGTGAGAGTAAACTTTGGTTCCACAGAAGTAAAATTTTAAGACATTTTTCCTGCAGTTGGGAAATGTGGAACCATGCAATTTCTTGAGAAAAAATAAATTGGGGGTTACTATTGCCTCTTAATTTTTTAAATGACAGGGCTGCCTGAAGTTATGAGACAATTATTTGGAAGATGTGAGGAGAGTTGAATATTAAGCACATAAAACAGTCCTGCCACCTATCTCAGAACCCTAGGCCAAGATTGTCCCCAGCCCCASCATGTAAAATGGTTAGTCTGTCGACTTGGTGCCTTCATAGTCTGAAAAAGCAAGATGTCTTCTGATCCTCCCAGTTTAGTCATAGAATTTTGGTTTTTTAAAGTTTTCCCATTGGGGCTGGGGATGTGGCTTAAGCAGTAGCACACTCGCCTAGCATGCATGCGGCCCGGGTTCGATCCTCAGCACCACATACAAACAACAATGTTGTGTCCGCCAAAACTGAAAAATAAATATTAAAAAACTCTCTCCTCTCCTCCCCTCCCCCCCGTCTCTCTCTCTAAAACATAAAAAAATTTAAAAAATAAAGTTTTCCCATGTTTTTTTCTTTATTTTAATGTTTTATTAGTGCATTATAGTTATACATAATAGTGAATTCATTTTGACATAATTATACATGCATGTAATATAATTTGCTCCATTTCAGTCCCAGTACTTTGTATTTCCCTACCCTCCTCTCTCCCCGTCCCTTCTTTTACTATACTGGTCTTTCTTCTATTTATTTATTATTTTTTAATTGGCACTTTATAGATAGATATAAAGTTGGAATTCACTGTGATATATTAATATATGTACATGATATAATTTTGGTCAGTTTCATTCCACAGTTCCTCCCTTTTCTCATCCCTCCTCCCTTACCCTCTGTTCCCTTTCTCTACACCACTAATCTGCCTTCTTATTTTCATGCTCCTCCTCCTTTTTTCCTTTCCTTATTGATCATAGCAGTTGTTTGTTTGTTTTCAAGTATCTTTAGTTGTAGACAGACACAGTACTTTTGTTTATTTATTATGTGGTGCTAAGGATCGAACCCAGTGCCTCACATGTGCTAGGCAAGTGCTCTACCACTGAACTACAACCCAGCCCAGTCATTGCAGTTTTGAAGTACTTTCTAGTTATCTGATTTAATTTCCTGTTGACTACCTTAGAAAGTTTGTCTCAGGTCACACTTAGCTGCTGCCACAAATTTTTTGGATCATAGCAAACATAATTATTATTAAAGTTCACATTTATTTTCTTGTCAAACTACTCCTTTTTKACTTTGAAAATCAAATTAATTGTTTTCAAATAAAAAGAGCAAAGCTCAAAAATGTTCTAAAGGTAAATTAAATCTCACCCTACATCCCACACRGAGATGAGAATCTGGCTACTTCTGTCTTTCCTAGTTACGAAGCAACATCCCCTGTCACCTGGTTGATATCTCTTGCGGATTACCCTGCAGTGCTACGCTACCATGTGGGATGCACAAGTGTCAGAGACTCTGTCATAAAGGAGAATGTCTTGTGGATGAGGCCTGCAAACAGCCCTGCACCACACCCAGAGCTGACTGTGGCCACCCATGTATGGCATCTTGCCACCCCAGCTCACCCTGTCCAGTGACTGCTTGCAAAGCCAAGGTGGGTATTTCTGACTTCTGATGGAACACTGACTCTGGGGCTGCTAGTAAATCTAGAACTGACTAAGCAGACCCTGRCCATGCACCTTAATCAATCAGGAAACATTGGTTGCAAGGAACTCCAAGTTAAGGTAGCAAGAGAAAGATGGTATAAATCATAAAGATTTCTATTTGCCAACTTGGTATGGCTTTTTAGTTCAGCAGATACCCTACTGTCATCTGACCACATTCTGTGTCTCCCTTCAGTCACATTCTCAGGAGACCCTGTCAACTCCATTTATTCAATAAATGTATAATGTCTGAGTATTTTWAAAAAATTGTATGAGGTAATAAACATGGTCCCTTATAATTTGATGGTCCAGATACTAAATAATTAATCAGATAGATCAGATATGGTATCATAGAGGAGTAGTTATATGCTTAGAGAGGGTGCTGTGGGAGCATGTAGGAAACTTGGCTGGATATGAGGGATCAAGCAAGTATCCACCTCTGGTTCAGTGGTATAAACTTCATTCTGATCCTTCATGCCGGATTAAGAACAGAGTAGTTTCTAGAAAGGGGCATTATATATAGGACACATCCCTCCTAGCATGTCAGCTACCACATTTTCAATTTACATGTGTTAGCTAGGAACAGTGGCACACATCTAAAATCCCAGATGCTCAGGAGGCTGAAGCAGAAGGATCATAAGTTCAAGGCCAGCCTCTGGAACTTAGCAAAACCCTGTCTCAAAAATAAATTTCTTTGGTTGGAGTGGGTGTACCAGGGATTGAACTCAAAGGCACTCAACCACTGAACCACATCCCCAGCCCTGTTTTATATTTTATTAGTGACTGGGTCTCACTGAGTTGCTTAGTGCCTCGCTAAATTGCTGAAGCTGGCTTTGAACTCACAATCCTCTTGCCTCTGGCTCCCAAGCCGCTAGGATTACAAGCATGCATCACCACACCCAGCCAAAAATAAATAAATAAATTTTTAAAGGGGATGGGATGTAACTCAGTGGTAGAGTGCTTACTTACCTAGCATGTGTGAGGCCCTGGGTTCAATCCCATTAACCCATGCACACAACAAGGAAAATGCACATGTGTTAGCTTCTTCCATCTTCGAATGTGGCTGTTCACTGACTCTCTTGCCATGGTTTCATTTAAGAGAACTCTTAGAAGCAAAGCCTGCTTAACACATGATTCACATGTGCTAAGAGTCGTTCCATGTTAATTTTATTTCAGGTAGAGCTACAGTGTGAATGTGGACGAAGAAAAGAAATGGTGATTTGCTCTGAAGCATCCAGTACCTATCAAAGGTTAGTGCTAYAGAAATGTTAACAATTGGTAGACGTAGATGAAGGGGATTCATGTGTTTATTGGAAGATCCTTGCAAGTTTCCTAAAAGTAAGAGAATCTTTTTCTTCTCCTCTCTCTCTCTCACTTTCCCCCTTTTGGTCTTATTAAATTATGAGATAAAGAAAAGATATCCTGAAGTTAGATAAATTGCTTTAATATCCCACTGCCTAAAGGTGCCCCTTCCCCAGTCAAGTTTTTCTAATTGTTCTGGGAGGGATCTTTTTAGCCTTTTAAAGTTTTGGAATTTGTGTGGTCATACAGGGATCTGAGTGCAGGGATGGAGGTGTTAGGGAATGACTGGTATGGGTGTTTCTGATTAGATGTTGAGGTAGGCCTTAGATATAGGACTTTGCAAATACACAAACATCAAATTGGCTATTTATGAAAACCTGCTGAGTGCTAGGCATTGGCCTGAATGCTCAGGTGTACTGAGGAGTTGGGTTACCTCATCACTTCCTGTGTAGCTGCTTAAAACCTCATGAGGACTCATGCCACAAACAGTAGGTAGTTTGTAAGATAGGATTCCAAGGCCACACAAACTGTCTTGTGGTGGATTGGCTTTAAAAGCGGTGTTCTGTGTTTCTAGCATGGGGAGTTTCTTGTGAAACTGCAATGTCTATTCTCTTTTCAATATTTCAGAATAGCTGCTATTTCTATGGCCTCTAAAATAACAGACATGCAGCTTGGAGATTCAGTGGAGATCAGCAAGTTAATTACCAAGAAGGAAATTCAACAAGCCAGGTAATTTTTAAAATGTGTAAGGTGACTTCTTTCTCTAATTAGACTTGGTTTCTCATGGGTAGGGCACATTCATTTATTTCAGTCTCCCACAATGGAGCTCACTCACAGCAGGTATTCAATACACTTTGATGTTGAGACCATACCCACTCCAAACCCAAGGAGTCCCACTCAAGATGTAGCTAAGACCAGAGGATATTTTCCAGTTTCACTTTAGACAGTTGATAGAGTAAGCAGAGTCCTAGATGTGCCCAGCCCAGCCCACAGGAAAACAGAGAATCAGAGTGGTGGCTGAATATAAGAAGGGAGGTGGGACTGCCAGAAGGGTCCCTGGGGAGCATTTTGAAGGCAGAGCATCCAGAGAACATGCCCATTGAGGACTCCTAGATTCCCATAACCTAGAGACCAGGGGAAACAATGAGATTCACAGGGCAGGAGTTGCTAATGAATCCTGAAAAGTAGTTGACCTCACAAGCCTCACAAGCGGCCTGAAGAAAAGTCCTTTGGCAAGAGTCTGCTGTGATCTAAGTAAGACTTTCTTGCTGGATAGGAACTGTAGAACCTGTGTCCTGACTAATTTTTTTTCATTTGCTTATCAAGGCTGGAGTGTGATGAGGAGTGTTCAGCCTTGGAAAGGAAAAAGTAAGTAGTTTCAACAGCTTGTTATCTACTTGTCACTGAGCCCTATTAATTAATGGGAGGAAGCAACCCTTTTGTCACTCAACATCTACTGAGTCTTTCACTGCTGTCAGAAAGAGAAATATGATCGTCAAGAATTGAATTGTCTAAGGATAAACTACTCAGGTAGTTTCAGCATATTTCAGAAGCGTGAGCTGGGTGGATTTGGGYGTGATGCCACAACATAATTATTTAGTGACTGGCCAACTTCCTGATTCCAACAGAGGTAACAATCTTAAAATGAATTCTGCTYGGGATGTGGCTCAAGTGGTAGCGCTCTCGCCTGGCATGCATGAGGCACTGGGTTCAATCCTCAGCACCACATAAAAATAAAATGAAGATATTATGTCCATCTGAAACTAAAAAATAAATATTTTTTTAAATGAATTCTTTCTATTGAAGTACAGCATATAAGTGTAAAGATCAGTGGGCTACAGTGGTATAAACAATACTGAAGTCAAGAAGTAGAAAATTATCAGAGTCCTCTCATGTAGCCCACAAAATTATCTGTCCTGACTTGAGTCTTATCTGTTTTTGAACTTTATATAAATGAAATCATATGGTTTGTGTTTGGTTTCTTTCATTACATTTGTGACACTCATTTCTGTTGTTGCAAGTAGCAGCACTGAATTCATCTTCGTTTTTGCATATTATTGCATTAATATATCCATAACCATTCTGCTATTGGGCTATTACAAATAATGCTGTTAAGAACTTCTTCTTTTGTGAGGTGCTAGGGATTGAACCTGGGATCTTGCACTTACTTTCCAAGCATTGTGCCTCAGAGCTACATTCCCAGCCCCCAAGAATATTTTTATTCTTGCTTTGCTATATATGTACTCCTAAGTTTATATCCAGTGGAAACAAATAACTTAGGAGTACAATTGTTGATTAATAAAGTATACCTATGTTCAGCTTTAATAGATTCTTCCAAGTGTTCAAATTGGTTGTGCCAAACTATAGTGCTTTCAGCAAAAATGCTGTTCAAAGTTCCCTTGCTGTGACTCTCATGGGAATTTTCTAGCAAGTGCTGTTCAAACCCATGCCCTTTTGATAACCATCAGTTAGTATTCTTAGTTGTAAAATGTGAAGTAGGAGTCCCAGATGTTCAGAAATGTTCTAAATTCACAGGTGTCCAAAATATGAAAATATGTCTTTGTGTAGTTGAGTGGTAGTATTATATAGTAGTCTGAGCTGTCCAGAGCTCCARAGTCAGATTATCTAGATTTGAATCCTATCTTTACAAATCACGTAGCTTTATAACCTTCAGCAAGTCACATATTCTCCCTAGGCTTTAATTTTTGTTAAAAATTTGTATATTAGTGACAATAATAATATCTACTTCCCAGAGTTTTTGTGAGGATTAATATATTAAAATTAAGGAAGACATATAAGGCTCTTGTCACAAGCCTGACACATATGACACATAGTAGTTGCCCAGTAAATATTAGTTACTGATTTAAACTGGCTTTTGCTTTTTTTTTTTTTTTTTTGCACAGTGCTGGAGATAGAATCCAGGGCCTTGCACATGCTAGACAAGTGATCTACCAAAGAAAAGAAATGCAAATTTTAAAAAGAAAACTCAATCTAAAGTTAAAATATATGTATATTTCTATTGCAAAAATCAAAAACTAACAGGCCAAATTCAGCTCACAGACAGGTTTTAATTAGTGTTTAAATTTGAGGGCTGGGGATGTGGCTCAAGTGGTAGCGTGCTCGCCTGGCATGCGTGTGGCCCAGGTTCGATCCCCAGCACCACATACAAACAAAGATGTTGTGTCCGCCGAAAACTAAAAAAATAAATATTAAAAATTCTCTCTCTCTCTCTCTCTCTCTCTTTCTCTCTTTAAAAAAAAAAAAAAAAACTTAAATTTGAATTGGTGGCCTACTAAGAAAAACATCAAAGGATCTCCCTCCAAGAATTCTGAAAATTAAGACTGTTTAAAAAAAAATAGGAAAATTTAAGCCATTGCATAGCATGTGTCTATAAACCCACCTCTCAGGTGGCCAAGGCAGGAGGATCACTTGAGCCCATGAGTTTTGAGACCAGCTTAGGCAAGATAAGGAAACCGTGTCTTAAACAAACAAATATGGTACATATGTTTCCCAGTGAAATTYTTTCTGCTCTTATTTTCCAGATTTTTGTGATGGGATTTTAATTTTGGTGTTTATATGTCCATTTTATGATTTGGGTGTTTTGTTTTGTTTGATGCTGGGGATCAGACTGAACACATTGTGCATGTTAAATATGCAGTCTGCCACAGAGCTACCTTCCTAGCTTAGGTACCTATGTTAAGCCTCAGAGAAAGTCATTCCCCATTGACCATTTCCAGTAACGTCATACACCAGCCTTCTCTTCCCCAAATAATACAAATCTCTAATATTCAGTTTGCTCAGACCCACATAGGTCTTTTTTTGTTTATTTTAGTCTATGAAGACAATACCACATCTTGTTTACTTTTTTTAGTCACCCATTTTACTGAAATCAAATGGCTAATATATAAGGAACTTAGGACATTGTAATCCCTATATATTATTACAGTAGTCACCCCTTATCTGCAGTTTTGCTTTCCAGTTTTAGTAACCCACAGTCAACTGCAGATCAAAAATATTAAATGGAAAATTCCAAAAGTAAGAAATTTACTGATTTTAAATTTCACTCTGTTGTTAATAGCCTGATGAAATTTTACACCATCCTCACTCCATCATGTGAGGGAGATGAATCACGTCTATGTCCAGTATCCACACTGAATACATTACCCACCTAGTAGCCACTTACTAACCATCTAAGTTATTAGATTGACTACTGCAATATCACATGTTTATGTTCAAATAACACATAATTGTACTTAATAATGGCTCTGAAGCACAAGAGTAGTGACTGGCAATTCAGATTTGCCGAAGAGAAGAAATGAAGTGTATAAATAAAAAGGTAAAAGTTCTCAACTTAAGGGGGAAAAAAATCACATGTTAACATTGCTAAAATCTGTTCTGTTTTTTTTTTTATTAATCTTTTACTGTACCTAATTTATAAATTAAATTTTATCATAGATATGTATGTATAGGAAAACATAGCATGCATAGGGCTTGGTACTATTACAGTTTTAAACATCCATTTGAGGTCTTGGAACATATCTCCTATAGGTAAGGAAGGACTGATTTATAAGATAGTTTCCTCTGCTCCTTTCCTTATGTTTGCAAAAACTTCTCTCATTTTCAGGAGGTTAGCAGAGGCATTTGATATCAGTGATGATTCTGATCCTTTTAATATACGTTCTTCAGGATCAAAATTCAGTGATAGTTTGAAAGATGATGCCAGGTATGTAACTTTTTTCTGTTAATAATGGCTTAGGAGAGTATTTAGTATTTTAACATAGAAACTAATATGTACTCCTTCTGTGACTAAGGCAGGCAAAGTTTATTTACCTATTGTAAAAGATTGGGTTTTGTTTAATAAAAATCCTGCCTTAGTTTTTCAAAACTGTTTCTTTAACTGAACTTTAGTGGTGGGGGGGTGCCCTGTGGTTGGAGTTGGAGCCTATCAAGAGCTAGAGTAGACTAAATCTTAGCATCTCTGAGCCACATTTCACCTCTGTCCACCCAAGTCTCACAATTACATGATTCTTACTTGGGTCAGTAGTAGTTCTTTTTCTCCTGTTTCCTGGTGCTCTGATGGCTATGTCTCCTCCTTTCTCTTCTCATATTTGTTCATATTCATTCACACACACACACACACACACACTCTCTCTCTCTCTCTCTCCCTCCCTCCCTCCCTCCCTCTCTCCCTTTATCAAGGCCGTCTGCTATCTGACAGTTCCTGATTTCTTTTCTGCCAGCATTGTACATTGTATGTACTTTGTAGGCAGAGGGTGAGCAGAAGGGATTCCTGGAAGAACCGAAACAAACAAAATTAACTGGTGGTTTCTCATTTCAGGAAGGACTTAAAGTTTGTCAGTGATGTTGAGAAGGAAATGGAAACCCTTGTGGAGGCTGTGAATAAGGTGAAGTCAAAACATCCAACTGGACATTCCTCTAAGGCCAGCTTGATAAGAGATCAAGTCCTAGAAACACCATCAGCCTAGAGTAGTTAATTCATAGTTTGCTTGAGGATTATAATCTTTCCCCAAAACCCAGGCATTATAACATCCATGGAAGCTTGTCCAGGTTCAGTCATTGCAGAAAATAATATGCAGTCAAATTAAATGCTAATAAAAATCACAGCTCAGTGCCTCAGAGGGGGTGAAGAAACTCTGGACAAGGAATGATAGTCACATGACTAAGCAGAATATTTAGAACTCCTGCAAGGCCCTCAGATCTCAGAGGGCTGTGTGTGTTAGATAGCACACTCCTTCTTTGTTACTCCAAAGTCAGGACAGAAACTCTTAGATAAAGATAAAACTTTGTATGACTAATGCTCAAAGAGTAATAGCAGGTAAACTCCTTAAAAAGAGGCCCAAAGCCATGTGCAGTTGCGCACCACTGTAATCTCAGGACTCGAGTAGTTGATTGAGGCAGGAGGATCACAAATTCAAGGGCATCAGCCACTTAGCAAGACCCTAAYTCAAAATAAAAAGGAGCTRTATCCCCAGCCCAGTTATAAGCATTTTCTATTTTTAAGATGATGTTATCAATCAGTTATCTATTTCCTCAATATAGGGAAAGATTAGTAAGAAAAGCCACAGCTTCCCTCCCATGAACAGAGACCACCGCCGGATCATCCATGACTTGGCCCAAGTTTATGGTCTGGAGAGCGTGAGCTATGACAGTGAACCAAAGCGCAACGTTGTAGTCACTGCCATCAGGTAGGTTGATCTGACTGTCACGGGAAGAACTCAGCAAGGCAAACGGGACCCAGGAGGCAGGATCTATTGGGATTTGCTTTCCTTTTGTCTCTTCCTTTTGGAAGAATAAAAGGGAAAGCTACTTTGCTGGGCCAGCCTTTCATTATGATCTGAAGATCTGAACCAGAGTGTGAATTCCATGCTTCATTCCATAAGGCACATATACCCAAAGACTCATGTGTGCCCTAATCTATGGAAGATGCTAGAGGATTTATTTCTGTAGGTAGAGGGAACAGACCTTGGGGGCCTAAAGGTATGCCTTTTCATCATATCTGTCCCTTTTCCCTTCTGTCTTTTATTCCTCTGTCCCTCCCTGGCATCATCTTCCTACCATGAGAGAAATAGAACAAATGCCAGACTCTGATTCAAGGCATACCATGTGAACAGTATTTTACCATCAAAGGAAACTTAGGCAGTAGTATGAGGCAGAAGGGGAAAGGGAGGACCTAAGTTGGGTCTGGAAATATAGCTTTTCTAGCATGTGCAGTTCTCCAGCATCACAAAAAATTTTTAAAAAGAACCCAAGGGAGTCAGAATTTCCCAAGGAAGAATAGTGAAGTGTAACATGAGGCAACAGGCCCAGCAGGGGTAGGTGGAAGAGATGGGGTTGAATGCAAGTAACCATGCCCAAGAGAAGACAGGTCATAGTAGAGAGTGCTCAGCAATTATAATGCCAAAGTCACAAACTGAGTTTCTGAATGTCTGCTTATCTGTACAAGTGATCCTCTTTGTTCATTACTGTGTTTTTTGACTCYTCAGGGGGAAGTCCATTTGTCCGCCTACCACACTGACAGGTGTGCTTGAAAGGGAAATGCAGATACGACCTCCACCACCAATTCCTCATCACAGACAGCAGACAGACAAGTAAGAATTCTTCAGCTGTTTCCAAAGGGACCTGGCTGGTAGAGACACCATCAGGCGCTGAACTGGCCTGGGCTGCACCAGCCACTACTGGCCTCTCTGGGCTTGGCCTTAAGGTGCCATGTTCAAATATATAAGGTTTATTTGGCTATCAGACACATTTGTTTAAGCCGCAGAAGACAAGTTTGATGTTTGTAATGCCAGTTTCACTCCAGGGAGTACAGTGACTGGACATAATTTCCACAATATAGGTAAAAAATGGATTTAGTCTGTCATACCTAATGATTTAGAACTGGAACATCACATAATTAACAATAGTCACTCTGGAGATGAAAGTGGGATTGGGGGTAAGAGTTGGGCAGTGAAGAGGGTGAGTGGGGACTTCCACATTTTGTTGTCTACTTCTAAGTGGCTTGAATTATTTTTACCACAAAAACACATTCGTGATTTAAAGAAGAAAACAAGTTGGCAAGTAGCAAGTCTGCCAGATGTTTTCTCAAACAGGAGCAGGGAAAGAGCATATCCTCGCTCTCTTCCTCTCCTTTGTCAAGAGGGGAGCCCAGCTGCCCCATTATGACCAAGGCAGCATGTCTGAAAGTTACTCTGAAACCTAGAGAGTCTCTACTCCTTTCTGGCCTTCCACTCAGAAGTCCTAGCAGTAACTCTTCTGTACTTCCTGCACAAAACCTCTGGAAGGATAATAAGAGCAGTTTATAGAGTCACCATGAGGGTCAGAGCAATTGGTGTTTCTGTGTCTCAGCCTCAGCCAAGGGCCATGTAGCTCCATAGAGCCAGCTCCTCTCTACCCCTGGAAACCAAGCAGCCTGGACTCTGATGAACACTGTTCATTAGCCTACCTTTTTTTTTTTTTTTTTTTTTAAACTTGTGTGATTTTCCTATAAAACTACTATGGAAGGCCAGACATGGCAGCACATGCCGGTGATTCCAGCCAACATGGTAGGCTAAGAAAGGAGGATAGCAAGCTCAAGGCTTCAACAACTTACAACTTAGTGAGACCCTGTCTCTAAATTTAAAAAAAAAAAAAAGGACTGGGAATGTGGTCCAATCCCCAGTGCAAAAAAAAAAAAAAAAAACCACCTGTGTACCCACACCAAATTTCAATAACAACCAGCTGGCATTTGCTTCTCTATCTTATCAAAGCTTCACAAGTGGCTAATCTGCTGATCCTTAACTTTCTGAAGTCTCTTTCCCCCAAAGAAGAAAAGATTGATTGTTCTTTTGTTTGCTTTTCAGGAATCCTGGAAGCAGTAATTTACAGAAGATAGCAAAGGAGCCAGTAATTGACTACTTTGATGTCCAGGACTGAGATCAAGATGCACTTAGATAAAAGAATAATTAGATGTAGTAGAGACTTATTTGCCAGCAGATAAATCATGCTTGTTCCTCACTGCCTGGCAGACCACAGCCTCATGTGCTGTCTTGTACTGATACATCCAAGCATGAGWGTTTCAGAAATCCCCTTGTCTATTCCTACATGTATAAAGTGTTTCACTATGGCCAGATCTCTGATTGTATGGTCACTAGGTTTTCAGTGATATATTTAAAGAGTCTCTTCAAATCATCACTGTGATTGCTCTGAGGGTTGGGGGAATATTGGGTTTTATTTGAACAAATCAGAATTTTTGCCCAAAACTGGCTTCATGGCACTTAGTCATAGTTTCAGTTTTCCCAGTTGTTCCTCCTCCTGAAAATGCTTGCAACATCAGATAGATCTCTGCAAATTCTCAGCCTGAAATACCAAATATAAATTCGTATACCAAATTTGAAATCACTCCTGTCATCTTAAACCTAACCATCTTTCCTAAGTCTTACTGTATTTTGCCAAAAGCTGTCTTGGAGCTATCTAGATGAACTTCTTTTTAATGTTTCCTAATACTGTCAGTTCTAGACCTACAAGAAAGTCAGGTTACTTTATAGAATTCCATTTTCTCAAGTTCCTGATGCTTCTTATACCACATCACTGAGCCTGTCCAGTGACAGTTTAGCCATCTCCCATAATAAAGGGCGTAGAACAAGCTTTTCCTTTTACCAGATTCACACTGTGGCCTCTATGAACTGACTAGTGTAATCCTAACTCCTYTCTGGTTGATAAAGAGTCTCATATAGACAACTGTCCTGCATTGCTTTTTCCTAGGCCTTCAACAGCCATGTTGATTTTCTCTGAGCTCTGGACCTCTGAATATTCAAAGAAGTATGTGGATAGTCCAGAGCTTATGCCCAGAAGCCCACTGGAGGCATTCTTCAGGCTCCTTTAAAGCAGGTGTGTCAACAGTTAAATTAATTTGGCCCCCTTTGCATTGGTAACCCTCTAGTATGGAGACCAGATTTCCAGCAGCTTCCTTCTGCTTCAAAACAAACCTTGATCCCCAGAGCAGCAGAAGGAAATTTGAGATGTGAAATTTCAAATTCAGGCATTTTTGTAAGAAGAGCAGGGTTTCCCTTTGGTCCTCACCCAACCTACTTTGAAAGGTTGAGGTATAGCATGGCAACAGACAACTGGAAAGAAATGACAGAAAAAAACAAAACTTCCTCTCTTTGGGCCCATTTAGCATAAGGTCTGTGACCCTACACACAACAGAAATACCACAAGCATCTGTTAGGTCTTTAAAGTGGTGGATTAGGTGGGTGAACTCTGTGAAGGCATCTCAGAATCAGCAGGAGGCAAGAGGTCTGACTTCAGGTTCTAGCTCTGCTACACAACTTGCCACTTGATGGAGTGGAAGTTTCACCTACCTCATCAGGGTTGTGAGGATTAAATGAATAGCAGCTGTGGAAGTGCCTGATCCATCAGAGGAACTCAAAGTTCATGAAAATTACATTTGGTATCTGAAAAAATTGGTAAACATTTCTCCATAATGCTATCCAAATAAAGGGATGGAATGCCTGCCAGGCTGCTCCTTATGAATGGCTGCATGTTTTCCAGATGCCACTTGTGTATTGGGACTACGAGAGGCAGATGTTCCGGGGCTTGAGGAAGAATTGTTCAGATTGGGATGAGACTGTAAAGGTAGATGTGTGTCAGCTGATGAGAACCACTGATGAACTCTAAGTAGAACAGCATGGCCAAATTCCTAATCCAGAGCAGCAGTCAGCAAATATTTCTGTAAGCAACTAGAGTAATAGACGTGCAACTTACAGTTTCTGTTAACAACTAGACAACTCTGCCATTGTGTGAACACAGCCATAGATAGTACATAATCTCACCTTACTTAGAATCAYGTTTAGGGGGCTAGGGTTGTAGCTCAGTGGTGGAACGCTTGCCTAGCATGTGTGAGGCACRTAAATAAAATAAATGTCCAGGGGCTGGGGCTATAGCTCAGTAGTAGAGCACTTGCCTAACATGTGTGAGGCACTGAGTTTGATCCTTAGCACTACATAAAAATAAATAAAGGCATTCTGTACATCTATAACTACAAAAAGATTTTAAAAAAAAATAAAGGTCCATCAACAACTAAAAAAATTTAAAAGGAAAATCACTTGTAACTTATATATGTTACAAAATATACTTTTTACTTTTTGCCAGCCATTTAAAAATTGTAGGGCAGGGCATATAGCTCAGTGGTAGAACACTTGCCTGGTTGCATGAAGCTTCCATCCCCCAGCCCTGGTGGGGGACAGGGAAAAACATGAGGATATTTGGGTTAGGATGTAGCTCAGTGGAACAGCACTTGCCTGGCATGCATAAGGCACTGGGTTCAATCCCTATCACCACAAATAAGATTTTTAAATTGTGAATTACATTCTTAGCTCATGGGTTGTGCAAAAAAAAGGCAGCAGGCTAGATTTTTTTTTTTTTTTCCTTTCATATCGGGGATTGAACCCAGGGGCACTTAACCACTGAGCCACGTCCCCAGACCTTTTTAATATTTTATTAGAGACGGGGTCTCGCTACATTGCTGAGGCTAGCTTTGAAGTCATGATCTCCTGCCTCAGCCTCCCCAGCTATTGGGATTACTGCCAACACAACTGGCTAGCAAGCTTGATTTGACCATGGACCTTATATTACTACCCTGTTCTAGAGAAGCCTCTTAGGCAAAAGTGTGTGAAAAGGATCAGAGGGCAGTTTTGATATATGAAGCAGAACCAAGAGGCTGCARAGGTGATCCAGAGGTCCAGATAAAAGAGGATGAGGGTGATAAGATTTGACCCTGCAAAGAAGAGATTCAGATCAGGGAGTTAGGATATGATGCCTGGGGTCTGCAGGGGAACCAGCCCCCTTCTGAGCTCCAAGGGAGCCCCAGGCCACTTCAGCAAGGGAATATTGTTTCTCATATGTCTGGCTGATTCTTCACTGCACAAGCAGTCTTGAATACAATTTTACACTTGGATCCTGTGTTTTAAGGGAATCTGTGGACCAGGATCCCACACCATTGCTTCTTGAGAATCAGGTCCTGTCTTCTCCCCCTTCCAGTTCTACACTTTCTTAACAGGATTTCTTTCATGGGTCAGAATTTTCCAGAAACCAAACTCTTATCTCTGGAATTCCCTCTGGCTTGTCTTGCAGGACTGGCTCCTCTCAGCAGCAGTGCCAGTCTGATGCAATGGGTGGGACAGCTGATGGAGGACTGGAAATGAAGCAGGCCTTCCTGATTGCAGGATCTTCCTGAAACAGCTCTGGATCCTGTCCTAGCCAGGCCTGAGAACAGACCAGGGAGGGGAAAATAGAATGTCAGACTTGAGGGAAATGCAAAGTCCAAGTAATTGGGTCCTGTAGATTTAAGATTGGGGGTGGGGGGTGCCCTTCCTATGATGCTGGCCTTCTTGCTTCATGCCTGAAAGCCTGGGGACCTTGTTTCCTAAGAGAACCTTGCCAGGTTACCTCTTCATTAGTCTACTCACCCACAACCCARGGGAAAGTTCTGCCTCCCAAACCCCAGACAGCTTTAGCATGGATGTCCCATACTGTCTTCCATGGCCTTTAGAGTGCAAGGATCCCCAGGAGATTCTCAAAGCCACTCTGACCCCTCTACCGACAAAGGCTAATCCAAGAAGAGACATGCCACATTAGGCCTTGTGTTTGCCAACCTAGAAGCATCCTGTACCAGGAGGGAGATGAGTCCTCAGAAAATTGAGTTGTTTGCCTCTCTGACGTCTGCAAACAGAGCTCATGTGGAAGTTCTGCCCATGACCAGGTTTGCCCTGAGCTCAGGCTTTATGAGGTTGCTTTTTCTGATGCACAGCCTCCTGGAAAACCTGAGAAAAAGCTAAATATATAGAATTTCTGTCTTGCTGCCTCAATTCTCTCCTTGGGCGGTTTCTGCATCTGAGGTAATGGGTCCTGCCCATGTGCTGCCCTGAGTTATCTTGAGGGTAACACTTGGGTCATAAAGATCAAGAGAGTCTCCCCATGCCACATGGCATCAGCATAGTCAAGCCTCAAGCCTATACCAGGACAGCCTCAGCAAGTAACTACTAGGGGTCAGGGAAGGAACAACAGTAGTCAACTGCCTTGGCAAGGACAGTAGCTTTCAGTCACCTCACCATGTACTCACTTCACCCAACATGAGTGAGTCAAGTCCTCAACTACTCACACTTGTCCAGGAGTCTCTTCTAAAAGTAGATAACAGTTATAGAGAACATAGAAGGTACTCAACACAGTGCCTTCTATGTTCTTTTTCATTCCTCAAAGCCCCAGAAAGTATTGTTTGAAACCCCTTCACTAGTGGGGAGAGTTAGATCACTTACCCAGCTCACTCAGTGGACAACTGAGGATCTGAAATTCCTACTGAACTCCTGTATCTTCTCGCGCCAAGCAGAGGCAACTTAGACAGCTCATTTGGAGTCCCTGGAGCAAGATGGCCCAGGTCAGGTCAAATGGGAACAAAGCTTATATCTATGACCCCAAGCAGAATAACCAGAGGATAGGACTTTTCCCACAATGACCACTAGGGTGCAGTATGGATCCCCAAACCAGATGGGTGGGGGAGTGTTCACATTGCCTCAGGAAAACTATTTATTTAAAACATTTGAGTGGCATTTATAACCAGTGTATTTAAAATTTATCACATTTGCATTCCTTTTTTTAATACTGCCTTCTCTCTACTTGTTGGTGTACAGAACATAGGCACAGGGGAAAAACATAAGGCATGCAGATATCTGAAGGAAGACTATTCCAGACAGAGAGAACAGCCATTGCAAAGGTTCTACAGTGGAAACATGCACCGTGAAGGAACAGCAAGGCCATCGGGCTGTAGGGGAGAGTAGCAGGGATCAGAAAGGTAACAGAATTTGTTGGTGTCAGGCCTTGTCAGCCACTGGAAGATTTAGGACAAGAAAGATCTCACACATTTTTAAAAATAATCATCTAGCTTCTGTATTGAGACTAGATGCCTGGGCAAGGGAAGAGGTTTAGGAAAACCATCAGAAGACCACTGCTGTAGGGCTGGGGATATGGCTCAGTGGTAGAGCATTTACCTGTCATGCATGAGGCCCTGGATTTGATCCCTAGCACTGGAGAGGTGGAAAAAAAAAAAAAGAAGATGATCACTGCTGAAATCAGACAATAGTGACTTGAGCTGGGGTGGTGAAAGTGGTTGTATTCTGGATACATTTGCAGGTAACACCTAAGAGATTTACTGACATGTGGGATAGTGGGATGTGAGAGAGAGGAGTCAGGAATGACTTCAAAGTTTTTGGCCTGAGCAGTTAGAAGACTGAATTTGCCATTTACTGAGATAGGAAAGAATGTGGGAGGAGCAGGTTTGGGGGATGAAAATCTGTCCGGTAGGTGGTTGTACATGGGAGTCTGAAGTCTGGAGTTTGGACTGGGCTAGAGATCTAATTTGGGGATCTGTTGCATATAATGGTATTTAAAGGCTGATGAGATCATAACTGGAGGGCGGGGAAAGAGAACAGGCACAAGGACTAAGCCCTGAACCTTCTATCATCAAGGGGACAGGGAGCTGAGAATAGGGTGGAAGAGCTGAGGAGTGGCGCCTCCATCCACTGTCTRCCTTGCTTCCTATTCTACCATGGCTCTCTGCTTCTGCAGCACACCCACCTCATGTCCCTGGTAAACAAGAGTGGCCTGGTGCATCATCTTTTCTTTGCTATCCCCTGACCTAGAGCCAGAGGCCAAGACAAATATGAGGGAATGACAGAATGGAGGCAGGAACACATTCTTCAAGGGCCTGGCAGGGCTCATCCCATGACCTGTTGCAGCCCTCATCTGAGGAATTCTGCTTATCAGCCTTATTGGGTCCCTGGAGACTCAGTTCAAGATTTATGGCCTCAAGTGTGCCTGGGTGTATGTGGCTCTGAGTTTTGTGTCTTCTCCCTCAATCCCTGACCCAGCCTACAGCCTCCACTCACCCAGTCCTCCCCCAGGACCCAGAGTAACTTCTACAGATGCCCTCTAGCACTTCTACCTTGGCCCCTGGACACAAACAAGAATCCCAGGACTGTGAACTCTTGCAAACTCCACCCAGCCTTGCTACATCACATGGTAATGCTAGTGGCAGAATTAAACCGGAAGCACTTCACTTTCACTGAACTTCATTATCCATTATCCTCCTTTACAGGTAAAGAAATTAAGGCCTAGAAAGGTTAAATAATCCACGCAAAGTTCAGTGGTAGACATTGAAGTGTTAGATTGTTTTAAATTTGGGAAGTTTTATTGTTTTTTGTTACTGTTTTGTTTGTTTGCTTTAGGACAGGGTCTCCCAATATTGCCAAGGCTGACCTCAAACTCCTGGGCTCAAGCAATCTAATCCTCTTGCTTTAGCCTCCTTAGTAGCTGGAACTATTCACATGCACCACTGCACCTGGTTATTCTTTTGTTTTGTTTTTAGTTGTTGTTGGACTTTTTTTTTTTTTTAATGTGGTGCTGAGAATCAAAACCAGTGCCTCATTCATGCTAAGCAAGTTCTCTACCACTGAGCCACAACCCAGCCCCTGCACCTGGTCGTTATTTCCTAAGTGTTTTATTGTTATTTTCACTGTTCCTATATGTTATTTGTACCCTTGCTTACAAAATATATTTCACAATTTAAAACCAAACAAACTAGTTAAGGTCACATCTTCAGGTACCAGGTTAATGCACAGGCTTCAGAGACACATTGATAAGGCTAGAGTCCCCTGTACGGCCCATCTCTCTAGCTTCCTTGTAAGATGGGCCTGACGACATGAAGATACAAGAGGGTGCATAGTGCTAACAGCAAACATATATACTCCCCTGTCTTCATGCAGCTCTGTAAAATGAGATTATTATCCCATCTTAACTGAGGTCATATGGCTAGTAAGTGGCAGAGTAGATGTTTGAATCCAGGCAGGCTGGCTTCGGTGTWTTCAGCATA